TTTTTTTTTTTTTAGGGTGATAATGTCAGACATCTGAACGAAAATAAAAAAATACCCGCAATTTTTTTTCTGCAAATATAGTGAAAAAAGAAAATAAAGATTTTTATGTTTGCGTGCGATAACAATTTATTAAGCACTGTTGAGTTTGAAGCACGGAAAATTTTTGCGAAGGCGAAAGCCTTGATTGTTGTTAAAATACTTGTGGAAAATTTCTTGACCTATGAATTTTAAAGTGAAATATTATTTACAGCTCAGTAAGTGTAACGAACCGTTGGTTTTTGTGTCGAATCATGTCATCGATTGCACATACCCGAATCCAAAGAGAATGTAAGGAGATCATCACATGCACAGAGGTACTTGTATGAATTTGTTGATTTGGTGTTGTAACACAGTGCTGTTAAGCATGTTGAGTGGTGCCACATTTTCTGCTTGTAGGTAACTGTGAAGGCGAGTTTTTTTTTTGGATAATGGGACATTTCTTTTTTTTTTTTTTGTTTATTTTCACTGACAATTATGGCACTAACTTATTTAAGGGTTTTGTTAGTCAGTAATTGTTACTTACGAGAGAATATTTCTTATACTTTTAAATAAGTGGATGTTGAAGACAATAATCGTGGGCTTTTTCTGGACATAAAAAAAAAGATGGATTTTGCGAAAAATTTTTTTATTTTATTTGTCCCGGATATGTTCTTCGTGTACTTTAATCGGGTTTTTAAAGAAATAGTTTCTCTGAACAGTTGATAGTTGTGGTTATACTACAAACACTCTTTAGATTATTGAAATCCCCGCTTGATATAGCTTAATGCAGAGAATTCGTGACATATTTTGTTGAATCAATCGAGTGAAAAATTAGGAAACGGTGTTTTGGAGATTAAAATTCTTCAGCTTATCGATTCGGGTGTGATGATCGAAATCCGTGATAATTGGATGAAAATTGAGGGTGAGATTCGTGGGCCATCCGACAGTCCATATGAAGGTGGCGTATTCAAAATTGATATCAGCATTCCAGACGATTATCCATTTCATCCTCCACAGGTAGCTATCTGTAAAGTTTTTTGCAGTATCATGGTTTTTTTTTTAATTTCACTTTTTAATACGTCTCTCTCGTATTCTTGCTTTAATTCGTTGAAATTTCCTGTTTCTTTTTAGTTTCTGCCATTTTTTTTTATTTTAGTGTAGATTCATAACCAAGATTTGGCATCCGAACATTAGTTCTCAGACTGGAGCGATTTGCCTCGATATCTTAAAAGATCAGTGGTCGGTTTTCAGCATTGTATGGTTTTGAACGCAGAGTTGTAATTAATTTAACAAGTCATTTTTTTGTGCTGTCAGAATTTCTAAACCTGAAAAGCTATCATGAGTAGTAGTTTTTTTATAACATCTTTCATCTGCCAAAGTGTAGCAGTACGAACTGGATATAGTTAATTTTTTAATCTGTAGGGCAGCATCGTTGACTTTGAGAACGGTGCTTTTGAGTATTCAAGCATTGCTGACATTACCAGAACCAAAGGACCCTCAAGATGCAATGGTAGCTCGGCAGTTTATGGATGACCGCAAAATGTTCGAGGTTGGTTTCGTTTGTTAAACAATGTGCATACGAACTCTGGTTAAATTGGGATTAAAAACGGCAAATTTTATTTTTTAAAGATGTTTTGTTTCAACTCTGCTACTTATTTCAATCTTGTATCGCGTTCTTATAAAACAATTCAGAGGACAGCGAGGTTTTGGACGCAACATTATGCGCGTGGACCTGGTGTAAGAGATGAGGAGCTGTGGAGACAAGTGGAGAAACTGGAAGATATGGGTGTATCAAGAGTAAGCGTTTTGATTTCTACAGCCTAGTTGTTTCATTTTTAAATAGAGTAATTGACTTTACAGATGTAGTGTGTTAGTTGTACATCATTTCAAATTGCAACTTTGCAGAATGAGGCAATATCCTCCCTCAGTTGTCATCAGTGGGATTTATCTAAAGCGACAGATTATGTTTTTAGTTAACTTAAACTCTGAAGTATTTTTGTGGTTGCTTGCTCAGCAACCAGCTCTACACGTTGGAGTTGTTTAATTTGTAGAATGACATTGCCACATTTGTGTAGCTTGCTGACGCTCGATTGGGAATGGAGGGCTTTTATATGTAGTTCAAAACTGGTACCTATTTATTCTGTTGTAATGGTTTAACTAAATTGTGTAAAATGGTTCTTTGAAGCGTCTAACTTGTTTTCGTTTGGTGCTGCTGGTTTCTTATCGGTTGTATTGAGACCAATCTACATCTGCGGCAATATTATATGCTTAAGTTATATTTGTATGAGTAAAGTTTCTGAATCCAAAAAAGAATTTTTATTTTTTTGTTTTTGTTATGGTTCTGTTCATTTATTTTTTGTTATTGGCGCTGCTGACGTTTTGCTCATCAGTACGTGTGTTTTTAGACAGTTCATGCTTTCATTGCATTTGATGAACTAGTTTTACACTTTATTATTTTTTTGTGCAAATTAGTTGGTTACTTTTTTAAGTTTCAATATATTGTATATGCTTCTACCGTCTTTGCTCTGTTAAATTTCTTAAGCACTTGTTTTTTGCTGAGTGGGTATCATTTTTTCAAAAAAGTGTTTACGTATACTGCGCGTATTATTGTTTTTCTTATGTTGCTATGGGATTTCTGCAACAGTCGCCGTTGTCTGTAAAAAAACTTTAAATACCAAGATATTGAATTGCATTTGTCTTAAATAGGTGAATAATTTTATGGTTGTGGAGTGACCATTGTTATTTTTTGCGTTGAAGGATTTACCGGGTTTTTTGTGCATTTGAAGGGACTTACCTGTCTCAAAATAAACGCGTTTTTTTTTTTTTTTTTTTTTTTTTTTTTTTTTTT